TCTGCGGGAGACTTCTGATGTCTGATATTTCACAACTCACACATACACTGCATATCAAATCTGCCGCCTTTTCAAACAGTAACATATTTTGCGCTGTCGCAAACCTCAACTGTGCGCATGCGTCAGTGGAACCAGACGATAGGCTTAAATGTTTCCCGGCTTGACTGTTAAAAGCAGATGATTGGCTTTCCAGCGGGAGGGGCGGGGCATGTGCATACAACCGCCATATTTGGCGTTACGGGTTTTCCCTATATAGTTGTATTAAGGATTGATGAAGTGGCATGTCTCTATATAAATAGTCTCTGCTCAAGCGTAGCGTTTTCTCGGAGTTCACTGTGTAGCTGCTCCAGCAAGGTCTGAACCTCCCCTGAAACGTCGCGCTTATATATTTGTGGATGTTAACTGAATCTGTAAGTCAGCTACACTGTTTACTTCTGAATATTATATTTTATTCTGGTGCGCTCAACGTTATTGTTTTCTCAGAGTTTAGGCTCCTGTGTAATAGTAGCCTAGGCTATTCAGCAACTCAAACATACCATACCAACAATTACTAAAAACAGATTTTGCACGGGCATTGCACTATATACAGTATAATTATAATACACACATATTATATAAACACAAATATTTATGTTAATGCAACTATTCACGATTAATCGATTTGTCAACATTATATATATGTGTATATATATATATATATATATATATATATATATATATATATATATATATATATATATATATGTATATATATGGCCTAAAACAAAGTTTTGGCACACCTGCCAATGGCTGGCTGTGGAAAATTTACCGGTCATAAATATTTTGTGCCAGCCATGAAACATAGATTAATACTTATTAAAGTTAGAAAAATTATTCAGTCAAGAGCAATGAGTGAATATTCTTTGTCCTTTGTTGTTTGATTAACATTAAAAACACAGAAAGCAGCAGAGGCATAAGGTTGCTGTCACTTTAAGAGCTTCACAGATACTGATACACATGCATTTTCTTTCTCAACTGTTTACGGCTTCTTAAAGTCCCCCTGTGGTAAAAAAAAAAAAATCAAGCTTTTAATGTTGTTTGTATGTCTATAGCCCTGTTTGGACGGGACTAGTTTAACATGGAGAGGTGGGGTTAATTATTACCAGAGCTTCTCTGTGATTTTAGTCCCGTCCGAATGTGCATCTTACGGACAATGTCAGTAAAGATTACGGGGACTTTTACCTTCAGTAAAAAGGTCCGGAAAAATGACCTAGTAATCCCGTGCGAATAGACCCACTGTAAAAATGTACGTAAATATTTCATCATTTCCTGTTTAAAAGTAGTTTTCCGCAGTTTTTCAAGTATGAAGACGCTTGAAAAAGCATTTAGTTGAGTTCTAGACGCTGGGACAAGTCTGTGGCAAAACTCAAGTGTTTTCCACACCATTCAGATCAGAAAGAAGATCGAAAGCACTTGTTAGAAGCACGAAACTTCTTTTAGCGTTAGGTAAGTGCCTTTTACCAACACAATCCAATCTGAAGTTAATTAAAACATCGTTCAACCGGATATAACTGTTTTTATATATAAATGTAGGTTATATGTGTTTGCACATGATATCAGGAAGCAATACGCACATGCCGACAGGAAATCGAGTTTCCCCTCCCAGTTCTGCTAGTTTTACTGAGATATCTTATCCTGGGCGAATTGGCCATTATTATTACAGACGTCCTATGGTAAAATTGCATTACTCCATCTACCCATGTGAAGTTAATCGTGTCCGAACAGGGCTTATGTGGTGTTTTTAATCTGATTTAAGACAAACCATGTGCAAATTCATATGTCAACACCATTGCTGACAGTCTCAAAAACGCGGTTTGAAATCGCTGTATCAACGTGTGATCGTCAACGAGTGGATCTCTGAGCTGAGTGAGTGAGTGGAGGCAGGGCTCATTTGCATACTCATAGAACCGCATATACTAAATGAGGCAAGGGTGTAGATTTACATTCAAGCTATTTTAAGGCGTGAAGGAATATTTTTTAACAGGAAAAAACTTTTGCATAATGTAATTTTTTTTTTAAACCTTTATTTATCCAGGTAAACTGTTTGAGAACCACTTCTCATTTACAAACATGACCTGGCCAAGAGGCTACAAGAATAAATAAGAACATACTGTACAGCTGATACATAGTCAAACACATAACACATAGAACAAGCAACTAAATTAAAAAAAGATAGACAACAAAGGGGAAAAAGAAAAGAAATAGAGTGCTTAAATATGTGTGTATAAATATGGTTCATGATTGTCAGCAGGAACAAGAGTCAACTATGTGATTTTCGAGGTTTTGCTTAAAGGTGGAGATAATTTGGTGATCAAAGATGAGTTTTAAGGGATACAATTATTGACTACAGGGAGACTTTAAGACATAGCTGACTATGTTTACAAGGATACTTGCCAAAGATAGGCATTTTGACATTTTAGTTTGAAATGTCCAGAAATGGCTACGGCCAGCAGCCATATCACCCTGTAGCCCAAGACTGGTGTCCCACTGAAGCTAAGCAGGGCTGAGCCTGGTTATACCTGGATGGGAGACTCCTGAGAAAACCAGGTTGCTGCTGGAAGAGGTGTTATGGCGCTTTTCCACTGCATAGTACGGTACGGTTCGGTTCGGTACGGCACGCTTTGGCGCTTTTCCACTGCATAGTACGGTACGGTTCGGTTCGGTACGGCTCACTTGTGGTGCTTTTCCACTGCATGGACGGTACGGTACGGCTCGCTTCGGGTCGCTTTAAATGGTACCTGGTCTGTTGAGGTTCCAAGCGTACCGTACCGGTACTAAAATGTGACGTAAAAACACTGCAGATCACTGATTGGTCAGACAGAATCGTCACTACCAGCGTCATTGGACACTAAACCCGCTAGATTTAAATAACCAGTAGACAACAGCCAACGCGGTAGCATCTGTTTTTTAAACTTTAAAAACAAATGGCTGAATCGTGGTCAGTGGACGAGGTGCAGACGTTCCTCTCGTTGGTTGCCGAGGAGCGGATCCAGCGAGAGCTGGATGGGGCAAAACGGAATGAAAAAGTGTTCCAAGAAGTAGCTCAGCTCTTAGCCGCACACGGCTATCACCGGACCTACAAGTGTAGGGACAAAATAACGATCAGTCCCACCCACTTTGAAAAGGTACTAACTGCGGTGGAAAAGCAACCGAGCTAAAGCAAACCGAACCGAACCGTGCCGTACCGAGTCGAGTCGTACCACGCAGTGGAAAAGCGAAGCGAAGCGAGCCGAACCGTTCCGCGCCGAGTCGAACCGTACCGAGCCGAACCGAGCCGTACCAGCAGTGGAAAAGCGCCATTAGTGAGGCCAGCAGGGGGCGCTGCTCAATCTGTGGTTCCATCCCAGTATAGTGACGGGGACACTATACTGTCAAAGAGCACCGTCCATCGGATGAGACGTAAAACCGAGGCCCTGACTCTTTGTGGTCATTAAAAATCCCATGGCACTTCTCGTAAAAGAGTAGGGGTGTAACCCCGGTGTCCTGGCCACATTCCCTCCATTGGCCCCTGCCAATCATGGCCTCCTAATAAAATCCACTGAATTGGCTCTATCACTCTCTCTCCACCTGTATCTGGTGTGTGGTGAGCACACTGGCACTGTTGTACTGTGGCTGCTGTCGCATCATCCAAGTGGATGCTGCACATGGGTGTTGCACACTGGTGGTGGTTGAGGAGAGATCCCTGATATGATTGTAAAGCGCTTTGGGTGTACAGTAGTACATATGAAAGAGCTTTAAATGCCTCATTCATTCATTCATTCATTCATTCATTCATTCATTCATTCATTCAATATGTCTGTTCAAGCGCATGAAGACACGAAAGAAAGTATTCGCATGCTGTCTGGGACGCTGATTTCTGGGCGCAAGCTTCAGATGTCCCACATAGCGCTCGAGGAAGGAATTAAGTTCCCTTTTGCGTTTCTTTGAGCTTGAATATTTCAATTGGAAAGGCTTAAACTTTTGTGACAGTGCAGCACTGCCCCGTTTGTTCAAGTTCATGTTCTCACAATTTTGCATTATAATTCATAAAAATGTTACCGGCCAACTGGCAAGTGACAGTTTCATATACTCGACAACAATGATTTTTACTCACATTTGGCGATTGCCCTGCATATATATTTATAGTGTAAAGTCACAAATCTGTATCTCTACAGTGCTTTGTAACTTGCCTTGAGAAATATCATAAAAGGTGTCAAATAGCTCTGGTCTCCCTTGAACTCCTAGATTTTATAGAAGTGTGTGACCTATAACTATAGTTATAGTTTTATATATAAAAGCAAATAATGTATGTAAATTTGATCTAAGGTTAAGACTGTCAAGCAACTAAACTCTTTTAAAAACATTTTAGGGATATCAAGCTGTTGCTGCAACGCCTTCCTTCCAGTCACTTAGTTTGTTATGGACCATTTGTGATGTAACAAGTGCAATAATGTGCAATATATGACCTTTTGATGTCTTTGGTTTAGGAACAAAACTTTCCACAGGAAATCGCCCTTCGCTTGTATCAATAATAATTGAGCAACGTTCAAAAAAGTTGTTGCGTTTTGCAGTCAAACCGGGAAATGGCCTCACTGGGCTTTTAAAACAAAACAAAACAATGTCTCTATTGTTTTTAACGAAGCATACATATTCAATATTTAAATGTCAAATTAATATACGTCATCGTCAACATGTGATTAACTACCAGATGGCGCACCACGCCAAAATAGCGCAGTACCGCACAACCTGCCATTGTTTCTCTTTTGTCTGCATACACTAATTAAAATCACCATAAAGCCTTTTAAATTACTTTATTCATCTGATTACCCCCGCATAGCATGCAGCCTTAATGTGGAGCGCCACGCCTGCTTTACATGTCGCTCAGGATAGCCAATCATCTTCCATTGGGCGTGTGACGTCACGGACAGGTGTGACCAATCAGAAGCGCCGTCTGACTGCCACCGCCAAGCTTGTGTGCGGAGTTCATCACTCTCAGGAAGTGCAAGAGCAGTTACTGGTTGCGCTTTCACTCTCATACATTAACAAGTTGTTTTGGTTTCCACTTTTGACAGACCATTTCAACACGAAATCCAAGGTAAGGCGTGACTTGGCGCATTTAGGATAAATTGAGAATATGTGGATGTACACATTGAATTTTGAGAGTGTCATGATGTGGATTGTGGATAAATGTTTCATATTTTGACAGCAGCGTTGGTTGTTTATGTGTTCAGCCACAGGCGATCCCAAAACGAGTTTATAATTCACTTTCAGAAGTAGGTTTGAGTCTTTAACAATTAATAAACCTTACAGCTAACTTTATTTATTTATGTGAACAAGTGCAATTTCATCAAATTAACAGTGCCGTCCATCCAGCTTCGATGACGTCTCACGGTAATTTCTGGCTAGCCCTATTTTTATCCTCTTGAATTGAACTTAAATTCTCTTAAGGCTGTTATATTCACGTATAAAGTGCAGATAATGAGAAGTGAACGCCAGAAGTGCGTGAGAGTCGAGCTGTCACAGGGAGCGGCTCGTACAGTAAGTCACACCGTCGGTTTGTTCTGCAGCTTTTGCACATTTCCGCTGCTCTGAGGACTCGGTTCTGGCGAGGTCGTCGACGCGTTTCGGTGAGAAATTCCCCATATCCCCACTCATTTATTGTCTGACATCTTCTCATATTAAAGTTATATGAATAGACAGGTAGTTTATTCTCGGGTTGACTCATAAAACTTTGTCCTCGAGGCGAAAATGTCACATTAAACTTCTGAGCAGATTTTACCTCAGCTCGCGCACACAGTGTTGCATATTCCTGTCAGTTTTACGATTTTAACGCGTTTATGTATAAAACATTCATAAAGAACAAGAGTGTTGTCAGAATGCTGTAAATAACCAGCTGGAACACACAGAAAAGTGGAGCACACAGCTGTATCTTTACTATGGTACAGTCTGTGAGCCTTTGATACACACCATGGTACTGAGTGATTGCCATTATCATGTACAATTACAATTCTACAATGGTCAATACTATATTGTTACAATTGTACCATGTCCTAAAATCATTGTAATTGATATGGTGGTATACAAAATACAATGCTATGGCCATGAGGGTATATCCAAAACAAAGTACCATGGTACTTTTGTATTTATTTATTATTTATTTCACGTCTTTTATTTCTTTTCTTTTCTAATATTACAAATTTTGAGGAATATTTGCCAATATGTTTCGTTTGAAGTATTATTTATTTATTTATTTTTGTCTGCGGGTTCTCTCCCCGCTGAGTGTCTATTTTTGCTGTGCTTTGCACGGTTTTGTGGAGAAACACCTGCGCCTTGTTATTAAGGTTTGTTCACTCACTTGTGAAGTAAACATTCAAGAAAAAAGAGAAAGAGAGAGAGAGAAATATAAAGAGCTTTAAAGTCAGCATGAAATGGAAGTTGCGATATGTCTTTTCTTCTCTATTGTGATTCATATCCAAGTACAACTCGAACAAGAACAAATGTAAGGCGGGACTTGATTTTGTCAATCAGGAATTGGTTGGATGGTTGTGGTTTGCTATTGGTGGATCTCGTGTGAGTGACAGGTTGCTCCGCCCTCACGCCAGTAAACGCATCATCAGAGAAGAGATGTTGTTGCAAGTTATTTTGATTAAAGATTACGAGCCACATGAATTAAAAAAATAATGATGTGCACAGATAACTTATGTTTAATAAATATACCAAGAAGATATTCCAGAAAAATTCCAAGAATTGTGAATTTAGTTTAGACAGAGATGTATTTGAGAGTGAGTTTAGTGTGGTAATTGGAAAAGAAAGCTGTGGAGTGTGAGGTCATGGGGTTTTTGTTGGCTTAGTGTCCTGAGATTGCAGGCCAGGCTGTGTCAGATTTGAGGCAGACATCTGTTGGTCCCGCACAAACGGTCTGGATATTTAATCCTTCCAGTGGAGAGGAGGAGGAGGGAAATGAGACCCCCGGCCCAGAGCTCACAGCTTTTGTGACAGGTGTCCCCCTGCTATTCAGCACCTCAAGCAACTTTTCCCGTGTGTGTGTGTGTGGGTGCGCTTGCGTATTTTGAGGCTTTACTTTGCTGTCTTTGCTGGTGTATTAGAGAAAAAGCTGCGCGTCAGCTAGTTTAACAGCCACGCTTATTGAATGTAAAGTTCAGATGTATTGATCTGTTGACCTAACGCTGCATTGTTGTGACGCAGCTGTCACGTGAGAGGCCGCGGTCTGTCTTTGTGTGTTTGTATTTGCACATGCACAAAAGAGCGAAAGGACACAGAAAACACACACACACACCACGGATCCTTTTTGGCGCCATTTCCCAGCTGTCTTGCTCAGTGTCACTGTAACATGCCCCAAGGGACACACTCGCGTACAGTTAGCGCTCCGCCGCCTGCGAGTGTGAACAGCACATAGGTGTGTGTGTGTGTGTTTGTGCGTCTTGCTGTGTATGTTAGCCTAGTCCTCCTGGGAGACTAAACTTAACCTTCTCCATTCATGCCGCAACACTGCACTTTCCATTCTAGGAAGCGGGAGATCTAGCATCAGGTTTCTGTATTGCTTAAAGTATGTGTTTAATCACAGCAAGTTATTTACACTATGGATTTAGCGACTTTTTAATAACAGAATTTACCCTTTAAAAAACCTCTCCTGTTGACCGCCCACTGCACATTTCGTATGTTTCCCTCATCTAGCACACCAGATTCAACACTCATCATTACTAGAGACTGCAAGCAAATGGGCTGAATCCGAAATCGTCCCCATTCACTATTCTCTACGTTAGTGCACTATTACTGTTCACTTGAAGGAGCGAATGAAAACGAGTGAGCGAATTCGGACAGCCGTTGAGCGTACATCGTTTGTACACTCGTTATTGCAGTGCATTGTGGGACTGAATGAGTGCACTCGATAACGTCCGCTGTGGTTTCGGACACCACTACAAATAGCCGCTCACTCAAATAATGAAATAACGCCCTATTTGAGTGTATTGGGACGATTTGGGATTCAGCCATGGTCTTGTTTTGGAGATACGAGGGTCCGTGGCTCTACCATTAGAGAACTTGGGTCACGTGTGCCTTGATAACCAATCACATCACAGCCTTGACGTCACTGAATTTCATTCAGAGTTGAGCGACAGTCAATCGCTGTTGGTGGATTCCATTGAAGTGTTGTACACTGAATCATAGTGATTGTCCATGACATTGTCTCTTATAAAACAGCGTTTTTCTTCTGTGTAAACTCTAAACATAGATCAATCCAAAACTAATGTTTAAGAGCAAACATGCTGAAGATTAGCCGATGGGCTGTCAATTTATTAATGATAAGCTGTTTCCTCAGAAAAGAGGTTTATTCAGCGTAGTGAAGCCTCTCCTCCATTGACATCCATAACAAAAACGGCCTCTGGTCTCCTTCCCTGCGTACCAAAGCATTAGCAGGCATTACACTCTTTTGGGTGCATTTTTGGTTTGCCTTCAAGTGGTTTTGCTTGGGTCGTCCAGGACAGGTTTGAGAAACACATCAGCTCTCTTGACTAGTCGCTCAGAGCAAGATATAAGATCATATATTAAATGTATCATATATAAGAAGATATGATATCCTCATATAAGCTGAGATATCAAGCTGTTTGTTTTTAAACATTTGTATTAACAAAAACGGAGACTATTGATAAATAAATTTAATTAATTAATCACAATTCATTTTGTGATTCCAGAAGTTTCAAGAGCTGGATGTTCATCAATAAAAACAATAGGTATTCGAGGGGAAAAGGTTTTTTAGCATTTTATTTGAGATTATAGTTGGGTTATTTGAATATATTAATGGTAATGTATTAATTAAAATACTTTGAAGTCATCATGCAGCTACCTTGGAAGTTTGTGGACCTGGTTGAGGACCACTAGAATAAGGACTGAACTTATCAGATTGTCAATTCACATCAGCATGTTGTGTAGAGCATCAGAGGACAAATGTCTGTAAGACTGAGACATATTTACCACCGTATAATTCTTCTGAAGCATTAGCCTTGTGTGAGGAACAGACTGAAACTTAAGTTGCTGTTCATCAAATGGCTTCAGCGGTCTTATATAGCGTGACAGCTTGTAGTCAATTTTTGATTTTGTTGTGTGGAAAAGTGCAGTATGAACAACATGCTGCTGGTGTGTTTTATCCAGGAGAAGGAAATGTGGATGGGAAAATTCTCATTTATTTGATACAACATTTTTAATTACGCAAGCAGTCATTATGTTTCTGGCACAATGTTACAAGTTAAAGGGTTAGTTCAGCTAAAAACAATGAGGTTCAGCCTAGCATGTCAAGCAAGTACGGTTGAGCTCTTTATATGTTTGCTGATAAATATTTAAAGCCTAAATTAAATCTATTCATCATGTCTCTTAGTCAAGACTATAAGATTAAACGCCTCGATTCAGATGGATTTATTTTACGTTCTCTTTATGAATGTTTGAAGCATCAGAGTTTTTGGGTGAATTGGGTTTCAATGGAGGGACAGACATCTCTCAGCCTTCTTCACTGATGTCCTGAAGATGAACGAAAGTCTAATGGGTTTGGAACGACTTGAGAGTGAGTACATGATGACAGAATTGTAATTTTTGTGTGAACTGTCCCTTTAAGAGAACACAGCCTGTGTTTGTATGAGGGACAGACTAATTACAGCTTCCTGTATTTCCTGTTGTAGGAATCTACATCTCAAATATGGCATGTTGTATATTAAAAGAAGCCAGACAGATATGCTGTATTTATATCTGTTTATGTCCCCTGATCAATGTTAAATTCAATCTGTCTAGCATATAAACCAATCGAGTCTGTTTAGAATTGTTTTTACTAAACCGCTCAATTCATATGGATTAGTTTTTATGATCTTTTTATTAACTTTTTAAAGCGTCAAAGTGGTAGTTGCCTGGACTGTCAATGGAGGGACAGAAGTGGTTCAGATTTAAAAAGATCTTCATTTGTGTTTCCCGAAGATGAACGAAAGTCTTACAGGTTTGGAATGATAATGAAGGAAAAGTAAATGATGACAGAATTTAAATTTTTAATTGAACTATCCCTTTAAACTATATGAAACTTACCGTAGTTGGCCT